AAAATGCTCGTGGAAATACACAGACACACAAGCGGGAATTATTCAGCGGCACTCACACACACACACACACACATCAGGACTTTGGGGATCACGACCATCACAAAACGCAATTCATTGTGTTTGTGTGTGTGTGCGTGCGGGAACGGGCGTGTGAGTGTGTCCGTGCTCTACCGGGAAGAAATCGAAAACGCTTGCCCGGGGGCAGAGGCGGCACCTAAACACTTGGCCAATACAGACAGGCCGGCCCTGGCCGAGGCCCTGGCCCTAGGCGGCTGGGGGCGTGGACGCCGTCCTCGACGCCGTCCTGGACGCCGTGCTGGACCTCTCTGTGGAGCCGGGAAGCACTACGGCGTCACGGCGTCGCGTTAGAAGGAGCCCAATTTGAACGGCACCGCGGCGCGTGGAGGGCAGCCGGCGTGGGGCGTGATAGAGGGGGGGAGGGGAGGTGGAGCGGACCCACAGCGATGATGACAGGGTCCGGGCCGCCCCGCCTCCACTTGGTGTGCTTTCAGTAATCATTATTTGGACGAAAGGTTCGCGTGCCCGGCCTGGCCGCGGCTGGCCGAGCAGGGACTCCTAGGGCCGCTCGGCGCGTGTGCCACTCAGAGAAAGCGGGGGCGGGGCTGCCTGCCCGCCTGGACCCGCCTAGGGCTGCCCTGTGAACGGGCTCGGAAAGGGGCGCAGCGTGCGACACCGTGCATGCACCCCGCGGGCTGGGCAGCACCTTCCAGGTTAGACCTGTCTGGTTAGACCTTCCAGGTAAGACCCTCCAGGTTAGACCTTCCTGGGTAAGCATTCCTGGTCAGGCGTCCAGGTTGCTCTAAAGGTTGCCCTCCAGGTTAGACCTTCCAGGTTAAACCTTCCAAGTTAAACCTTCCAGGTTAAACCTTCCTGGTTAAACCTTCCAGGATATGCTTTCTAGGTTATGCTTTCAATGTTAGGCCTTCCAGGTATGCTTTCCAGGTTATGCCTTCCAGAGTTAGGCCTTCCAGGCCGGCTGGGCCTTCCAGGCGGGAACAAGGGACAAGCATGTCAAGCCAATAAGACAACGCGGGACAAACTGGACAAGCTGGACTGGACCAGACGCGTGGCGTGGCGCGGTGTGGCGCGGCGGGCCCCCATCCGACGGGTCGGAGCCCCGGAGAGTCCGGAGAGGGCCGGGAGAGGGGCGCGTCCGTAAGGCAAGGACGGCGACGGCGCCACGGGACACGCCGACCACACCGTCCACGCCGTCGTGTTGGCACAGCCTGGCCTGGCCTGGCACAGCCGGCCGGCACGACGTGCTGAGCAAGACTCGCCTCTCAGTCAAAGGCACAGTGTCGGCTCCAAAACCAGGGGGAACAAACAGAAAGTTGCGAATATTTTGATTGTTAATTAGAGATAGTTTCATGAGGTTTGGTAGTCGAGTAAAACCTAGCCTTGCACGAAACGGGCGTCACCTTGTTTAGAATAAACAGTGACTCCACCTTTTCAACGGCGTACGCCCGAGAGTGCTACCTAGGGATTTAGATATTAATCACTCGGAGAGGTGGCATCTGTTTATTGCGGCGATCAGCCACGATACTATACACGGAGTGGAAATCCACTTTTCATATTGGACTCTGCTATTATATCGGTGGGCTGTCATTTTTCATGCGTGGTGGCGCTTGTAGTGTGTGGGCCGAGGCCGAACCTCTGTCTGTGGCGGCTAGCCGGGGCTCCGGCGTGGCCAGTTACGAGGACCTAACCGCCCTGGGGCCAGCCGCAGCCACACTGGCGGCACCGGCAGCTCTGGCAATGCCCAAACATCCACTGCCCGGCCCTGGCCGGCCAGAGCGATATCATTTTTGCCACTACGTATAATTACCGCACGACGCCACTGAGGCAGAATGGGAGAAATTGGGGAAGAGAATGAACCTATACACCCGTAGAAATACTCCGCTAAAAAAGGGAATGTTCTGTCAATCAAGCAGGGTCTTCTTCTTCTTCTTCTTCTTCTTCTTCTTCTTCTTCTTCTTCTTCTTCTTCTTCTTCTTCTTCTCTGGTCGAATTTGCTGCGGGGGACCGCGGCGCGGCTCGGCGTGCGATAGAGCCGCGTATCTGATGCTATGCAAAGAGCCAGACGATAAGCGGGCAGGGGGGAGGGGGGGGAGGGAGCGTCCGAGCGGACGGACGCAGCAATTGGCTGCAGGCGATGGCAGGGCCTGCGCCTTGCGCCTGCCTTGCGCCTCGCACCGCGCCAGCACCGCGCCAGCACCGTGCATGGCAGGCAGCAGGTGTATGCAGGACTATGCAGGGAGTGCCGGCTATGAACACGGTCAAATTGCCTCCCGGGGCTTATGCGCCGCGCTGCGCCGCGCAGGGCCGGACTGGCCCTTTGAGAAAGCGCTTGCTGCGGGAAAAGTGCGCGCCCCGCGGCAAAGAAAACCCCCGCACGCGGCATAAAAAGGAAAAAAGGCCGTTGCGAACAGGTTGCCTTTCCAGAAAGCCAGGGCATCTGGTGCGCACGGATTTCAAGCGTGTACAGAATTTTTCGCTATTGCCGCCGCCATCGGCCCTTTCACTTTTTTTCAGCGTTGTGTGCCTTCCCTTCTCCGGGCGATGCCAGTTGGTACCCCTGCTTCCTTTCCCCCACCAAAATCGAGACCCGCGACGTTCCCCAACCGACCAGTCAAGCAGTCCCGTCGAAGGCACCTCTCCCCCCCCCCGCACCGTCTCCGTTTTTTATAGCTCCGAGCGATGTTCTGACCCCAAAAAAGCGGCGCATCGCGGCAAGTTGCCGGTATCTAAAACTACCCGCGCGCTGGGGGGAACGGACTGCTCATCGCAACGTGGAAGTGTCGAGCGAGTCTCCTGGAGGGTTGCTGGGGCTGTAGGGACATTGTTGGCTCTGTCCCTCTCGCACTCGTGGGGCGCCCCGAACGGACGCGAGAGACACAGAATGCTGTTCGGCTGGCTGGCCACGCCACTGCCACGCCACTGCTCCGCCGCTGCTACGCCACCGTGTGCGATTCGGGCTCGTCCTAATGAAGAGCTCGTGCGTCCAGTGGCGCCCGGTGGCCATGCTTGTTTATAATTAATGGTCCCGGTGATCGCGTCAAAAACATTGCTCATGTCCCTCTCGCGCGCTCTCTCTCGCTCTCCCGCTCGGACTCTCTCAGCGGCCGTGCTATTTTAATAAGGAAATTCGGTTAATTAAATCAAGGGGCTCGCCGGGGGTGATCCATCATGGGCGAGTTTAGCGACGCGCGGCCCAGCGTCTGGCCAGCGTCGCCACCACGAAAAAAATAAAAACAAAAGCAGCACGAAAAGGGGTGGGGGGACTTTTCCGTTTGGAAACGATTAGCGGACTGTTGTTGGACCGGGCAGAGCACCGCGGTGAAACGTGAGCTTGGAGCGCGGCCTGAATCTGATAGACATTGATACCAAGAGTCGGAAGCTCGGCGTAGCCAAGGCGTAGCTCAGCTTACGCCGAGGTTCAAATACCCGTGGACTCGAGCTTGAAAGCGACAAAAACCGTGGCTGGAGGCCATAGGATCGAACCCGAAAAGTAGCCTTTCGACCTTAAACAAGCTCCTTTCCTCGCGGTCTATTGAATTTCATTTTATTTTTCGCCCAGCGTACCGACAGTTTCCCTTGAATTTGGCAGAATTGACCATAGTCCAATCCACGCAACTTTGTCCACGGGAGATCTCTCTTATTTTTTGCCCGGAAGTTGTCTGGCTCGCGGTGCAGACGCACGCGTCACATCTGATAAGCCAGCAGTGCACTTTGCACCGTAGTTTTGATCGGTGCTGATCTGATTAGGCTCAGTGACGCGTACAGTTTTTTTTACGGCGTGCAGCGAGCTTCGCGTCCGGATTTCAGAGTTGGTTCAAAATTTAGCCGATTATCCCTCGCAGCGCTCTAAATTTTGCAGTGTACAATCATATTTTTATATTTCTTATATTTCTTCCGTTGCAGGCGGGACATCTTTTGAGGGAGCGAGCTCATATTTTAGAGGCCATAGAGCGCCGCAGCGCCGCCCGGCTGGCCGGCCAGGTGCGTGCGCGCCGAGCGCGCCGAGCGCGGCTAGCAGACGACGCGTGGGCAGTGACACGGGAGAAGGACCGGCAGGCCCAGAGTCTGTCCCTCTCGCACCTGCACGGGACGCCCCACGAGTGCGAGACACACAGAGCGACGGAAACGACTCTCTGTCCGCAGCCCGGCAATAGCAGTGCAGTGGCAAGTGCAATGGCAGCCTCTGATTGGCCACGCGGCCGGGCGCGGCGGCGAGAAAATTGGTAAGTGGTGATGATTGTAGTGTGGCTGCAAACTACCGGGTGCGCGGTGCGGCTCCTGGTTGGCTGCCCCGCGCCGCGCACGGCCGGCCCCCTCATGGAGCCCCATGGTCCCCCATGGCCCTGCAGGCCTGCAGCTCGCTGTGTCCACTGCATGTTGTTTGCACGGCGACAACACACACCGCCAGGAAAGGCTCGGTGCACGCCTTTCTTTGCACCTCGCTTTTCGAGGCTGGCTGTACGCTTTTTAATGAATGGCTCACTCTGTTGGTCGGATCTGCCGGGGAGATTTCAACGCAGGGGACAGTCAGAGGTTTGGGCGTTTTGGCCGCGGCGCATCTCTTTTAATGCTCTAGCTGCAGCTCTCACGGGGATTGGCGCTGTTTGATGTTCTTTTATAGGGGCGCGTATATCACATTATCTCGGGCAAGGCCCCGTTCCGTTATCTTCCTAAACAGCCGCCCCCCGCCAGTGTAGGAGCGTGTGAACTCAGCAGTGTACTTGGTATGCTAAAACAGCGTGCGCTGCGTGTCGGAAGGGTGAGGCGGAGTCACGAGGTGTCTGAGGGCAGCCGCAGCGTGTTCAACAAGACTTAAGACTTGCCGACAAAATTAAACTGCCTAGAAGTTAGCTTCTCTTTCATTTACCATCTCAGTTATCGTCCTGTTAAGTTTTTCTCTCGACTCAGTGTATTGAGATTCATTTTCAAAAAGGGTTGAACACATTGACGTAGATGGATAGTTTCAATTAAAATGCTTTTATTTTTTTCCATTCTCTTTGGATATTGACTGAAGACATTTCACATACCACAAAACAATTCATTCAATAAAAACTGATACACATATATGCTCGTCTTACAGCATTACGTCGGGTGCGCATTTCCAGCCACACCATAACACATTTACAGGCCTCTTTTTACAGAAATTCGTATGTACAATTTTAAAATCTTGATAATGATGCAGTGAAAACTCAACGCCGAGCCAACGTAATACTATAAGATGAGCTGACGTCATCAAAAGAAACCATTCAATTATAGACTGATACACTGAAGGCAAAAAACATGGCAATAACATAACAAAAGAATGACAACAAAATCAGTGCACATAACAAGAACGAATTTTCAAACAGACAGAAATAAACATTAACTTGCACAAAACATTTCGTTGGACCTCATGATGACAATGTGGAAATAAAACATGAATCATACCGACTAGCATCATAATGGATTTGTGAGAAATTTGACAACAGAAACGCTGATTACTCTCTATTTTGTACATGACAAAAGTGAATGCATGGCGCACTGATCAAACGAACTTAAAACCGAAATGACAGAAAAAGAGAAGTACAGCACACACACGCACACACGCACAACTACTGAGCTTTCTTTTCTTTCGGGACGTTTTATTATGTCGTCCGGTCAGCCTATAGAATCTGAAACTACTGATCCTAAGAGGTCCTTAAGAATTCCTAGAGTTAGGTCTCGTTTATGGTGTCATTGGTCGGTCGAGGGCCAAAGATTTCTCACAAATCGGGTCTTCGAGAAAAAAAGTAGCCCTGTACTAGAATCCTTTAATTTGCATTCATGGAGAGGGTTCCTACGTGGTACACAAAGTTTCGATAAAATGAATTGCCTTCGTCACAAATAAATACTATTCCTCGATTACTCTAAAAAAATATACATAACAACATATCTACAAGATTCAATTCTAATTTAATATCACATAAAATAAATAAGTCTGCAGGTAGATACGGATACCTCGGGGTCACGTGCGAAATTTTGCATTGCAACCCAGTTTACACCACAAAACAAACATTTCTGCTTGTTCAGGGACACATCAAAAAATACAATTTGAATCATTCTACTGCATGGTTTGTCATACAACGGCAGAAGATGAATCTTTCTGTAGTAAATAAATAGCAACTGTACAAGAAATACACACGAGATTTACAACAGTGTACAAATAAATACAAACAACATACATATAATTGGAACATCACAAAAAATCACAATGACTAAAGGAGTGATTCAATGAAAAATCACGTTTAGGCTAACAAGGGTCTCAACTCAAAAACACTCAAGATGACAGGTTCCAAGCATCATAAAAGCAGGTACTGGCACATGCCACATTTTTCAGTCAAAACAAGAGACTTTGTGGCGTGTTTTAAATTATTTCGGTGCACACTTTTTGAAAGCGAACTGACTGACAACCTCAGCCATAAAGAAAATGACACATGCCACGAGAAATCTGTAATGAATTCCTCAATGACATGCATCCTTTAGTACGATGCCGCAGAACATGCAAGATGCGACTAACCCGAGAATTGGAACAGGTCTCCGAGTTGAGTTCGAATCACAGTTTTATGACCCATGACAGTAAAAGAGCGCTCTTAATTTCCACGACAACAGATCATATTACCGGGCAGAAGGGGAAAGACGGCGAAACTCGGGAAAACAATGCATTATCAAGGAACAAGAGAATAAAAAAGGCCGTAAGCAGGCAGAAGTTACGACTGTCCTGACCATACATGAAATGCTACATTGCCAGCATGGAACCGTGCGTGCGCTTTGAGAACACGCAACAGCGAGAAAATTGATGCAAAGAAGACACGATCAAGCTTCCACGGTGTGCATTCGTTTTATTTCAGAGCTGCGGTGTGGCACAACAACAAGTTATGTCCGCCGTCTCCAAAATAAATGACTACCGAATTTCCAAGCTTGAACGCCTGCTGGAGCCAGCTGTGTGTCTCGAAATCAATTTTATAATGCAGAGAGTGAAAATCGACGGGGAAATTACATTCTTTCCAAACAAAGGCAGCGGGCATGATCAAAAAGAAAGAGAAAAAACTTGAAACCGTTTGAAAATACAAGCACAGAATACAGTTGATGGTCGTTAGTTATCGTCTGTCTGGTGGACGAACTGCCCGGCTGTCGGTCTATCGTCCAGCCGATCTATCCACAGGGCAGGGCTACCACTCCAGGCTCGTTTAAAAATTTTAACAGTCCTGCAGCCGGTCCAGTGATGCAAACACAACCAGCGGAACGGCGGGATCGAAAAGAGAAAAATGTCATTTAAAAGCAAAAACCGGCATTTCTATATGACCGTAAAATGAAACAAAAGTACATAACTTTTCTTTGAGATTGGCACTGGGACCATGTGGGACGGGCCCTCAGAGGCTTAGGAATGTGTTGGCCCGGGCTTGTAGGCTGCCCTGACGGACCTGCCCTGCCGGCCCTGCCGGCCCTGCCGGCCCATGTCAGACTGTCTGTCGGCCCGGCCGTCCGCCCGCCCCTCCGCCCCCTTGCCCCTTCGGGTCCCTGACGGTCCCTGGGTATGACGACCCACATATATGGTGATACCCTGCTGAATTTTGATGGCAGAAAGGGCGAAGGGACGATGACTCGAATGGCTTCTATACCTGGTCGATTGGTGGGGGTGTCACACGTGTAGGAGCGCCCATTCTAGCTGTCTACGGCCGCCATCCGTCTCTGTCACACCCACAGGCCTCACAGGCCGGCTAAGGCTGGCCCAGGCTGGCCGGCCGAGGGTGCGAGGGAGACGGTCGCGTGGGGGGCGTGGCGTGGCGCGGTCGTCACGCTGATGTGCGAGTCCTGTCACCGTAACGCGCCTCGCAGCGCTCCACCTGGCCCAGCACCAGGGCGATGCGCTCCTTGAGCACCTTGACATTGCGGGTGGGCAGCCCGGGCAGCACATCCCTGCCCTTGGGCTCGGCGCGGTAGAAGGCCTCGTGCAGCAGGTCGCCGACGTCGCCACCGCGGTGCAGTCGCCGCAAGGCGTCCACGGTCGGCCGCCGGAACACGCACAGCTGGTCCAGCAGCAGGCGGTGGTAGTTCTCGTACTTGCGCAGCAGCCTGTAGCCGTGCAGCAGGCCGCTCTCGTTGTCCAGGAACACGAGCAGCCCCGTGTTGGGGTCGCGAGCCAAGTTGTGCGCGGGGGCGTCCATCATGCCCTTGTTCCACTGCTGGTTGTAGAGGTTGTTGACCACGCGGTCCAGGTTGGCGGTCAGGTAGTCGAACACGACCAGGTCGGACCACTGCGCCAACTCGGTCAGCCCGGCCATGTCGCCCTCCACGTCCGGCGGGTGCAGGCGGCGGTTGGGCCCGCGCAGGGCCTTGGGGATGTGCGCCGGCTGCAGCGAGGGCACGAACCGCGTCAGCACCACGGGCTTGTCCTCGGCCCACTCGGCCACGGTGACGCGGTCGCGGACCTGCCCCCAGCGGGGGTCCCGCGTCCGCACCACGGACAGCGTGGACGGCGCCAGGTTGCGCAGCCCCAGCAGGTGGCCCAGGAAGAAGCTGAAGAGCTCGCCCTGGATCTGGTCCGTGTTCTGGCGGTAGCGGCAGCACGACGCCGTGCCCTCCGCGAACGTCAGCAGGCGGTTCTGCATGCGCCCGCAGCCCTCTTCCATCTTGACGATGGCCGTGGTGCGCGTGAACCGCCGCCACGCCTCCACCTCGGCCTCGGAGAAGCCCTTGGGCATGGCGTCCTCGACGGGCTGCCCCCAGTAGATGCCGCCCACCACCCTGGCGGCGTCCGCGGCGGAGGACGGCGACGGCGGCGTGGTGGCGTCCTCGGGGGACTCGCCGCGCAGCATGGCGACGACGCTGCTGTTGGACAGTGACGCCAGCACGGGCGGCGACGCCGCGAACTGCGACACGAAGGACACGCTGGGGAAGCGGGGCGGCGACGGCGTGGTGCTGGGCTCGCTGCGGCTGTCGTTGGGGGTGACGCGCCACTGGCGGCGACCGTCCTCGTCCTCGTCCGCGCGCACGTGGTTGATGGCCGTCACGTTGAAGGGGCGCGCGGCGGGCAGGATGGCAGCGTCGGCGTGCCTCGGCAGCACGCACAGGGGGATCATGACGCCCACCACCAGCCCCAGCGCGAAGGCCAAGGAGGCCGCCAGGAAGCAGAACAGGCTCCGGTACGACGTCGGCGACGTCCGCCGCTCGTGCCAGGCCATGACGGAGCGGATGGCGGCGAGCAGGTGTTGGCGGTACGCGAGAAGGTAGGTCTTGCTGGTGCGACGTTTGTCTCTGTCGGCGAAGGGCATCACCCGCTGATGCTCGCACATGTTACACTGTTAACCCATCGCGGCAGGGCACGGCGCACACACACGCACGCAGTCTCACGCACACACACGCGGGCACGACTCAAACTCGTTTCTACACTCGCCGTAGCGACGTACGCTGCCGCATGGCCTCCAGGCAGACACTCACACACACACGCGTGCGGGCGCACCAACTTCTTTTTCAACCTCCTTTCCTGCCTGTTTCACACACACGAGCACTGGTATCCGTTTGCTTTGGCTGGGCCGGCTAGGGCCGATGTCACTGAATCACACACACTGTATCCAAGGGGCGGCGGGTGACACTGCAGGCACGGGTAGCGCGAGGGACCGAGTGGCCGCGACGCCACAGCGCCAGGCTGGAGTGTCGTCGTGTTACGGTGCAGGACCGAGAGTGGCTGCACGGCCGCCTCCAAGCGTGTCTCGACACCGACTGACTGGACGAGCGGAGCGGAGCCGGAGCCGAGCCGAAGCCGGAGCCCGGAGCCGGAGCGAGGAGAGAGAGAGAGAGAGAACTGGAACCTGGAACTGGACGGACGGAGGAGCCGAGCCGAGCCGGGCCGGCCCGTTCGGCTCCAGCCGCATTGTGACGGCTCGGGCCGGCTCGGCTCGACTCGGCTCGACTCGGCTCGGCCTCGCTGCCCCGGCTCGGCTCGGCCGCCGGCACGGCTCGGCTCGGCCGCCGGCACGGCTCGGCTCGCACCGCGTTCGGGCCGCCAAGGTATGCGGCGGGCTGGGAGGGCCGGGCTGGAGGGGCTGGGGGAGCCATGTCCGTCCGAGAGCACCGCAGGAAGGGGCAGAAGATCGTGGGAGGGGGAGGGGAGGGGGGAAGGGGGGAGGAGGTCCTATATCCTCCAGCTATGGCCGGCCGGCCAGATCAACAACAGCAAATCATGGGCAGCAGCAACAACAGCAACACGCTCGGTGCACCGGACACTCGGCGGCTAGGTGACCGTCCTGGGTCAAGTTGAAACCAAGGGCGCGTCCGTCCCCGGCGGCCACGTGGGTCCGTTTGGTCGAGGCAGCGTGCGCAGCGTGCGCACTTGGTTCGCTATCGGACGCCGCGGCAGGTGCTCCACATAAGATGCAGTCGACGGACTCGACGGCAAGACGGCCAACTCGGCGGCCAGTTACGCCGATCTCGGCCTGCTCGGCTTGCATGCGGTGCTGTCGGATGCATGCACGATAAAGCCCGTGGAAGGGAGAAGGAGCGAAAGAAGAAAGACGAGGAAAAAAAATGATGGGGATGAATATCGGTCGGTCGGAGCGAGCGGTACGGCCCGGCCGGCCATGGCCCCGGGGGTGGTGAGTCAGGCCTATCGAGCTATCGATGCATCGGGAGCGATCGGAACGGACGGGCTTGATGCATTTTGGCAACGCAGATACGGTCTGCAGACGGTCTGCGGGCCCCAATGCTTGGCCTCAGCTTCTCAGCTCGGCCTCGGACTTGGCCTCGGACTTGGCTTCGGACTTGGCCTCGGACTTGGCCTCTGGCCTCGGCCGCGTGGCCGAGCTGTCACGCGCGTGTGCGTCCCAAAGCGATCCTCGCAAGCGGCAAATCAGTTTCCTCGTTGCTTCGGCCGTTGCGGCCGTTTCGGCTTGAGCCGCTTCGGCCCCAAGACGAGACGAATCTGCGCGCATGCCGGCCCAAAAATGCGCCACGTTCGCCGCTCGTTCCGTTCCGTCGTGCCGTCGTGCCGTCGTTGCCAGTCAGTCAGTCGCCGCGCAGGGCGCAGGCTGCACAGGGCGCGGGGCGGCGCGGGGCGGCGCGGGGCAGGGTGCATACCGCGCCGCACGCAGCAAACTCGCAGCACATTTGCACAATAAACCTAAAGCGCTGTAAATCACCTGGGCCTGCACGCGGCGTGGCGTGGCGTGGCGAGTGGCAGAGTGTCTGAGCTGACCCGCTGGGGCGTCTGCTGTCTGTTACATCACCCACCGCACTCTGCCCTTGCCCAGACACGCAGCCCTGCTCTGCAGAAACACACACACACACACGCGCGCGCACACACACACACACACACACACGCGCGCGCGCGCGCGAGCGTGCGCAGAGAGTCACAAACGCTGGAGAGATTGACATAGGAACCCTGACAACCCGGTGGCTGCTGCATCCTGTAGGAACCCTGTCGAGGCGTTTCTCTACGCATCTACAAATACCTGGACGCAGACAGACAGACCGACCCACACACACACACGTGGGGATATCAGAAAAACATGCATTATGCGACTACCGAATGGGTTGGCCCTCAAACGATACCGCTGCGGGTTTGATTTTACTCCATTTGTCCTGCAGGAGGTGGGGCCGTCCTTAGGGCCCCCTTAGGGCCGCCGGCTGGGCCTTGAATGGGGCAAAAGGACAGCCAGGCCACGCCCGGCCACGCCGGGCCACGCCAGGTGCGACCGTGTGGACCGGGTCCGGGGACCATCCGTCACAGTGGGGTAACAAAACGGTGAGGTAATCGGGGTGGACCGAGGTCGCCGTCGGCCGCCGTGGCGGAGGTCTTCTCGGCGGTGATGAAGGAGGAGAAGGAGGAAGAGGGATGCCCGCGGTGTGGCCGGCGGACTGGCGGTCCATCCCTGCGTGCACGTGCGACGACGCGACCCGAACTCTCGCGGCGGAAGTCTGCCCCGCCCTGCCCCACCCCGCCCTCCACACAATGCCCGTCATGCTCAGGGTTTCCCTCGGGGGTTGCGCGATTGAGGACGGCCAAGGGCGTAGCGGCGGGTGCGCTGGGGATTTCCTCCGCGCCTCTCTCCCGCGGCCGTCTCCGTCCCTCTCGCGCTGGCTGCCCACCCCGCCCGCCTCTCTCTCTCTCTTTCTCACTCGCACGCACGCGGGGGTAACGGTTCCAAGAAGGGCGGCGCTGTGCAGTGCCTTGGCAGTGCCGGCCACACCTATCCCCGCCCGCTTGCGCCTCTTCGCGCCACCTTCTCGCGCTGCTTGACCTTCTCTCTCACGCTCGCAGGGCGTGCCGTGTCGGTGCGAGGGGGACAGAGCGACTCGCCTGCGCGGGTCTAGGGCGAATTGCTGAGGACGAGGGCACCGCGTCGAACTGCTAACGGGGTCACAGCCCATTGGGCCTATTGAGTCCGCGAGTGACAGCGATACCTGTCGTGCTGTTGTCGCACGCAGCAAAAGGGTTCCTCATTGAGCGCGTCGCACGCTGTCCCGCCGCCGGCCTGGCGTCGCGTTTTCGGGGAAGGCCTCGCCCGACGCGGCCAATTTATTGTACGCCAATTGAAAACTCATTTTTCGCTTCGTCGAAGTCGCTCTGGCGTTTCCGTAAAACCCGATGCCGAAATGCGGCCAGCCCTGTCTTTGCTTTGTCTCCGCGTTCGTCGCCACGTTTGGGCGCATTTTCGGTTTCGGGCCTTTCGGGCCTTTCGGGCACGCGGACTCGGGGACTCGGAGCGCGCCCAACGCTGCACGAGTGTGGTGGCACGTACGCACGCCGGAAAGCGGACGGGACATTTCGCGGGAATGAATGCCATTCGCAATTAACGTTGCCCAATGAGCGGCGGCTCCATTTCACCGGAAAAATGCCGCCGCGCCGTGCTGACTCGACCACACCACTAGTATCTCACGGCGTGCGTGCGAGCGCGTCGAGACGCGGAGCGCAGTGTGGTGGCGTCACCGCGTCAGAACCAAGACGGAAGCTTCAAAGTTCGGGGATAGATTTCTCATAGCGGTCGTGCCGTCCGGGCCGCCGGGACCCTCTTGACGGTTTGACGCTCCCCGACGGCCCCTCACGCCTCCTCGCCAGTGTACCAGGCCGTACCAGTCCGCCCTGACAGCTGGCTCGCGGAGCTTGCGAGAGGTGGTGAACTCGGAATAAATAAAATAGGAACGATCCCGCGCCGCGCAGCCTTACGAAGGAAAAGAGGAGGATTTTTGAGTGACAGGCGAGAGCGAGAGCGCCGCGCGGGGCGGCGGGGCCGGCCGGTGCGAGAGAGACAGCGCCACCGCGAGCCCATCAGGCTTTATTTCCATTTAAATGCGTGTCCATCCCATATGAAACTCGTTACCTTAATTATGAAAGGTAAAAGCTTCTAAAAGGCCGAGTCGCCGACTATCAGGGCGCGCAACGCTCGCAACAGAGAAGCGACCGGCCCGCGCGCCGCGCCAAACACACCCAAAGTCGGACTCGTCGGGGAGGAGGCCGACAAGGCCGGCGGACTGCAGGACTGCCTGGCGGCCTGGCGGTGTCCCGCTCGTTACCGACCCGGCCGCCGAAGTGGAAGACACGAAGCCGGCCAATGTTCGGCGGGCTTGCAAGTCAAAACGTTTGACGAACAATAAACTACAATCAATGCACAAATCAGCACGATTTCCCCCTTCCCCCCCCCACCCTTTTCCACGTTCTTTTTCCTGTCGGCCCCCTCACCTGAAGGCCCCTGCGCTGCCACACACACACACACACACACACACACACACACACACACACACACGAGAGCAGCGACCGTTATTGTTTGAAATGCCCCGCGGTAAACTTTTGGCAAGATGAACCGGAGTGCACGTCTTGCTCACATGACTTTATCAACCATCTTTTGGTCTTGTTCGGCAGCCGCTAGCACGCCGAGCCGCCGAGCCGCAACGCGCCGCGTGGCGAGGCGAAGCGGCGTGGCAGCGGCGTGGCGGCGGCGTGGCGTGCTGGGAGGATTAGAATTTGGTCTGGCAGGCGAGACGCGCGGGACGCCGCCGCCCACTCTGCCAGAAATGCGTGTGTCCCAGGGCGGCGGCGCGCAAGATGAAAAAGGAGAAAAAAAAGAGTAAAAAACAAACTTATTACGATGTTTGAAATAAAAGTAAAATCGCGAAATGAAATAAAAAGGAGATGCGGCGAAGTCCCTGGAGGGTGTCGTGTGTACTTTCCGCGGGAAAGGCCTGCTGGAGAGAGAGGGAGAGAGAGGCTAGAGTTCCCGCACGCGGGCAGGGCCGGGCAGGGCGGCCCCATCGACCCCACCGGACGGCCGAACGCGGCCGAACACGGCCGAACAGCCGGGACGCCCCCAGGCCAAGTTTCATTCTCAAACTTATCCGCTATATTTCGGGACAACGGTGGGAACGAGGCAATCGCTCTGGCGCCGTTTAATCCTTTTATTGCGTTTAATGGTATTTGCGTGAATGGCTCGGCATCTTGATTGCTTCTCGCTTCTTCTTCTCCGGATGGTGATGCTAGGCTGCGGTGTGGCCGCGGTGCCGATGGCCGTTTTCCGCCACGGCCGGGACTGATCTCGAGAGTCGCTGTCATCGCTCCGTCTCTCTCGCACCCTTACGGAGAGCCCCATGAGTGCGAGAGAGACAGAGCTACGAAACGACTCTTCTGAATCGCTCGCCAGGCGCTGGCCGCGGTTCTGTGAAGTGCGCGGCCAATGTGGTGCGACAATCTGGCCCGGAATCTGAAAACAACAACAGG